GGAACCCCACCGGAAAGACGCAGAAACATTCGCGATTGAAGGAGGCCTTTCTCGGGAAAAGTGCGAAGCTGGCAGCCGCATCCTGGCCTTGATGTCAGTCGATGATCGATCAATGCTGTTGATCAGTCGTGGATCAATATCATCAATCACACAATGCAGAACTGTGTAGTTTGACTGACATCATTCACTCAATTCGTTGCTTTGTAACACCGTCGGTTGCTTCGCAGAAACGAGCATCCTGTTCACATCATTGACCAGAAAAGTAATCATTGGAGATTTGGCTGTCCAGCAGGAGGATGGGCTTTGATATTCACACCATAAAATCAAAGCGAAAAATGCGAAAACAAATTCCACGTTCCCTACCACACAAAAAACCATTCGCGGAAAGATTTAGCCTTCACTTCACGTTCTGTTTACACTCATCTATAAACTTGCATTTATAACTCCATTGTCGCAATTTTAAGATTACTGTGCCGTATGATTGGCTTTGTGAGGCCAATGGTATGTCTTTGCACAGGTTGCGCCGGGGATCGGGCACGATGGCGGAGACCGAGGAGGCTCAGTCAGAAGGCGCGGCTGGGCGTGGCGATGACGCCCCGGCCAAAGAGGGCCCGGAGGGCGAGTCGAAAACTGGCGGGGAGGGACAGACAAATAAAGCCAGGGGCTCCGATGCGGGCGATGTCGACGACAAAGAGAACATCAGCGGGAATTCGAATTCGAACTCGAATGAGGGTGACGGGGAGGCAGAGAGCGAAGAGCCCAAAGGTGGGGATCCCGGGGGAAAGTTTGGCAACACATTCACCGGTAGAAAACAGCCTGTTTGCGATGCCAGTTGCGACACCATTCGACACAAATTGATGCCATCGCAGCCACTTTATCCCATCCCAATCACTCTGACGACATCAATTTGTGTCGAAATAGCATCGCAGTTTGCATCGCGGAGATGCCGTTTCCTACCAGTGATTTCAATGGATGCGTCCATTTTCTGTTCTCTCGCGTGTTAAACAGACAGGAAATTCGCACATCGCTTGTCATTGATGTAGGCACGCTGCGTGTAGTTTGCAAAGCATAACGCTTGTTTCACTGTTAAACATTGTTTGTTTGACATTTGTTGAATTGTTGTTCATATGTTATATATGTCGCTGCATAACCTATGATACACTATGGCACAGTATGGTACATTTGCACAGATTGTGCAGTAATTTGCTGCAAAAAATGACAATAGCTCTGTCGCATTCGTATGCCAAAATAAGACGCAGAATGATCACAACGGCGTTTCGTCTTTATCTACACCACGTTCTGTCGTGAAACGTCAATTAAATCACACAGAATACAACAGCAACCGCCAAGCAGGCCTTCGCAAATACCAAACAATGCTTTAGAACGAGGTGGCGCGCTTTAGTATCCCACGATGTTGGATTTCGGCCTCACAAGCAATCCTGAATTGGCCCACTGCTTTTGCTGTGCTGTTGGTGGTGGTTCAAATGTTTAAATGTTTCAAATGTTATTCAGATGTTGTTTAAATTGTGTATGACATGTTTTAAATGTTTTGATTTCTTCAGGGGAGGGGAAGCCCGAGGAGGCTGCGCCTTCCACCGAGGGAGATGAGGCACTGGAAGCGCCGCAATGTGAGCAAGAGATTCCAGAAAAGACCCCCACGGCAGCCCAGGAGGTGACGGAGGAGGGTCCGCCGCTCGATCAGTTGGAAAAGGTGCGCGAAGGAAGCTCAAGGCAGGGGAATAGTGAAATCATACAGTTTTAGACTGCATGATCCAAGTCTCGCGTATCCATATATATCCAATTTTCCTATGTACCACATCCGTCCCTGATTAATTGTCGTCTATAGTTTTGTTGCATTACTTCTACATCATACTCGCAGCAGCTTTCAATGCAATCTCAATCAGATACGTGCTTGTGAGTTTGAAGTATACCAACAAAATTTCATGTCAATCTATTAAGTATTTAGGATTTGGCAATACTTCGTATCAAGGGACGTGTTACCTAGCAAAACTCGATGTTTGGGGTCAAAAATTACCACAATTTACATTCCGCCACACGCACAAAGGGCCGTATATCACTTCTTCTTTTGAAAATTCTAGCTAGGGGTTTTGGAACACAGCATTTTAGATTTCAAGCTTGTTTTGTAGTTTTGAGGCCGTCCTTGAAACGAATTTTGTCTTTCAAATAGACCACAACTAATCTGGGGCGGAGGGCGTAATTCCTTTATAGCCTATATGACACATATATATCCGACTCCCGCAGCCACTTCATTGGTCTTCAGTGGCTGCGGGACTTGCACGCGCCAGAAACTTGAATGGAATGATGTTGCCAAGCGAAGGGGCTCAGACGGTTCACCGCCCCGCGCATGGTGCATTTGTTTGCACCATTGCCGGCAGTCGTTTTCCGGAGGCTACCATGCCCTGCGTGACGCACTGCTGCCCGCTGGTTGGCATGCATGTTGCATTGAACGTGGGGATGCGCAATGGGAAAAACAGGAACATCAGGCCATTGTGAAGACGTAGCGACAGAACTGGTGCGAAGCTTCTGCGGGACAGTCCCCGTTCAGAATGCCAATCACGCCATGAGATGCAGATAAAAGACGATGTGAATGGTTGGGACGGTTCAATTTGGAAACCGCTTGTGGCGAGCAGGATAGCCAGTTACTGCGGTCCTAAGCTTATGCCCATTTTTGTAGTTAGGTGCTTGCGTCAATGTTGCTGCTTCGTCGCCAGCGAGAACGTGCCCCCCGCCGATGTTTTTTTCCCAAAAAGCTCCTTCCCGCGAGGTCGCTTCCCGCACAGAACAGCGCCCGGCGAATATCCCGCCCGAAGCTTGCCTTAAAGTAGCTGTTTCCATTCCAAATGAAGTTGCTTGAAGTTCACGTTGAACGTCAACCCGTGCAAGACTGGGACCAAACTGCGTTATGCCAACCTCATTTTCGTGCCACCTGCGCCGGCGAAGCGTGAGCAGCTGTCCCCCTGCGCCGCAGGTCCTGAGCGAGCTGTTCGTCCCAACTTTGACGCAAAACATGTCCGACAAGAATTCTGCCGGCGTCCTGGCGTCTTCCTCGGGTGGGGGGAGGAGGAACGAGATCCTGGGAAATCTCCAGAAGTTTCTGAGCCAGGTCGTCAACACCCGCCGGCAGCTCACCGGGGAGGTCCAACTGCAGGTAAGTCAGGCAGCTGCTTAAATCGCTGCGGACGTTATTAAGCTGTAATTATTCCGATAAGCTCGGAAAACGTCTTCCGTGACCCTATTTCCGTATCGAGCTCCATCACCTAGTTTCGATGGGCATGCGATGCTTCGATTTCAGGACGCGCAGCACGTTGGAGCAGTGAGGAGATATACGGGTCCTCGACTCGCTAGCAAATAGGCGCAATGGTTCATGTCGAATTTTGAATGTTTGTGGCGCTGAGGCGCCGAAGATGGAGCCAAGCAGTCAAGGGAAAGCCACGTCTCTGCTGCCCAAAAATGTGTAATGATAACAGTGCGTATTTTGAGAGCCCGACCTTTGTGCGACAACGCCGCGCGGTCGTAGTTCCGCTGATGATGTGGACCCAAAATCTCAGTTGCAGTAGCGTTCATGCAGGGGCGTCTGGTTGGCTCGAAGGGGTAGTAGGAAACAGTGACAGTGGGATCGCCGCGCTCCCTGTGTTACCACCTGCGTGGAATCTCAAACCTTCCTTCCTCAACATCTCTGAATTGTGTCCATCGCGGGCAGACATGCTTTAGGATTGTCCAATACACATTACTACCGGATGTGAAGGTTATGAAGGGGTCATGAATACCATGAAGGGTACTAGGGACCTGCAGCCCTACAAACCTACACAACCTGAACAATTAAAAACCGAAAATGACCCCCTAAACAATTAAAAACCGAGAATGACCTTCGTAACTTCTTGTTCGAAAATGAACGAGTGTCGGACATTTGTAGTATGGTCCGAGGGGCAATGCAGTGCTCCACGCCCTTGGTTAAGCGCTTCAACATGCTTGGTCATCATGCACGGTGTTTCTCGGCTGATCATTGGGGTGTGCAACGGAAGTTCATCGCCGTGCAGAATGGCGGCGCAGCACCTCTGGCCACGAAGGCATCCAGTGGACGCTCCAGTGCATTCGCTGATGACCTTACGCTCTTTGGCAATCAGTGCGACCCAAATTCCCAGTAAAAACTACTGTCAGTGCTTGGTGCTGAAATTTTGGCGTGCTCTTTAGTGGTCAATGCAGCCCATATTCCCAGACACACTACAGTCAGTAGTTGGTGCCTAAACATTGGCGTGCTCTTGAGCGGTCAATGCAACCCAAATTCTCAGACAAACTGCTGTCATTACCTGGCACTAGATTGCAGTAAGCGCGGATTCGGGCAGGAACACACATCCCCAGGCCCCAAGGCTTCCTGTCGACTCGACATCCCGCACTGGGACAAAACCCGAGTCGTTCTGGCCGCCATCGCCGTCAGCGGCACCCATGGAGGCGGCCCCCTTCCGTTCACAGCTCCCGGCCACGCGCTCCCCTCCGACTAAGCCGCTCCCAAGGCGCAATCCCCGCACAGAATTTCCCCCCACTCTCCAGTCCACGCGCCCTCAACTGATGCCATCTTCTATGCTCACAGGTTCCCGACGTCCAAACCGCGCCCAAGGCGCAATCCCCGCACCAGATTCCCCCTCAACTCTCCCAATCCAACCCTCGAGCCCTCAGCTGATGCCATCATCGATGCTCGCAGGTTCCCGACGTCAGGATCGACAGCGTGGAGCAGTGCGCGGCCGATGATGATCTGCTGCCCGCGCTAGAGTCCGCCGTGGCGGACTGGACGTCCGTGCTGGCGGCCGTGATGCAGCGCGAGTCAGAGAAGCAGCCCGTCGGGCGGGGGCCCATGGCGGAGATCGAGTTCTGGCGGCGGCGCAACGCGGTGCTGTCCAGCCTGTGCGAGCAGCTGCACCTGGGCAAGGTGCGCGCCGTGGTGGCGGCGGTGGAGGCCGGCAGCAGCGACAAGAACCTGCTCTCCAGCTTCACGACGCAGGTGGGGCCAGGGGCATGAAGTTAGTTGCTCTGCCTTTTCCGTGAAGATACCTTCTTGTTTCGACACCCTAAACCCCAAAACCCCTGACCCACAGACCCACGATGGCCTTGTCAGGGGAAGAAGAAGGGAACTTCACGGAAAAGACAGAGTGGCTAATATATTCTCGGGGGCGGGGGTGGTGGGTGTTGAGTGAGATTTGTTACAAAGAGAGGAAGAAACAGGTCATGCAAAGGGCAACACCGCCTGGGCAAGTGTATGCGAGACTCTCTTCCATGCGGTGAAAAGATGATACAAAGCCTCCGATGCGGAAATGGGTGTTGGATGGAATGGTGCTTAAGGGGTTGGACTGCCCTCTTCCTTGCCCCTGGCCAGGCGGTTTGGTAGAGCAGTGGGACGTCTCGTTATAGGTAGCCGGTTCGCTGCCCAGTCAGACATCCTCTTTACCATCCCAACTATAACAGTGGGCCGCTATTCAATTATCAGGCAAGCGTGTCGAACAACACGCGTCCCCTTTCGTGCTGTTAGTGCAACTACAAAAATGGAAATATGTGATTGTCCAGGACATGGATTGTTATGCGCTTCAGAAGCACATAAAGCACGAATAACTACCTGGAGCTTTGATGTCTTGTCCACTTCAGCGCTGTGTCCTGTTGTTTGGAGATGGCAGCCTTTGCCGACGGGTAGGAGGGACTCCCTTGCTGGGAATGCTGGGCCTTGAAGATTGTTGATTTGGTGGAAAGGAGCACATACCATGCATTATGCAACCCTTGCCGGGTACAAGTTCTCTGAGGCTCCCTTCCATGCTGTGGTGGTGTGGTTTGTGTCTGTTCCATCGATGCACACACTCCCCAGGCACAGGCAACAGACAGCCAAAGGTGTTGTCACAAAATGAATCCCAGAAATGTGCTGAATGCCATGTGCATCAGACCCTGCTGGTTCCCCCATTCATTTTCCCACCTTTGCCATCACTTTTTCCCACCAAAGTGGTTTCGCCAATACGCACATCTCTGCTACACTTCCCAACAAGCACAGAGGATTTTTTTGCTGTGTGCCCCAACATACTATGGCAGATGATGCAGCTATCTTCCAACACAACAGCAATAGCATGTGGCAAGGAATGCTGTTTCAACGACCTGTCCTATTAGGCGCTTACCAAATCCTTGAAAGAGAATGTTCCTTGCCAACTGATGCAAAGTTCTTTCCTGATGGCGGTGCTCGACTGCAATCATTTTTAGATGCAAGGAATGATGCTATGCAGTGGCTTCCCCTCAAAGCCAAGGAACTGTGGATTGTGACGTTGTTTCCTGCTGTGAATGATGAGGAATGCTTGACGTTAGCACACCAACTGCATTTTCACACCAGGGCCTACAACCCTTGGCACAAGCAGAATTCGCCTGACTGATTGCTTGCCCCATGCAGGTGGGTGAGCTGAACAAGCTCACTGTGGAGGCCACGGACAACGTCAAGTTCCTGACCACCTTAGAGCGCCATTTCAAAAATATCCATGCAGGCCGCCTGGCGGGAATCCTGGACACGCTGCCGCCCATGATGAACGCACTGAGGATGGTGTGGATCATATCACGCCACTACAGTGACGATGTGCGGATGGGCAACCTGTTCCAGAGAATCGCCTGGGAGGTGGCCGATCGGGCAGAACGGGCGATTGACTTGAAACGGCTGTTCAAGATGCCACCACAGGAGGCGGTGGACATCATCAAGACAGCGTGCAGTGTGTTGGAGCACTGGTACCTTGTGTATATGCAGGTGAGTGTATAGTTGCTTGCAAGGTAAGGGACTCGGGGGGGAATAGGAGTCTGGCGATTGCTGACATTGGCATGGAACTTTGTCTGCGTGGTCTGTGTTGCTGCAGTGTAAAGAGGAGAATTTGCAGATAGATCGCCTGAAATGCAGCAGCAAAGCAGGAAGCCATGGGGACGTAGGGTTGACTTTATAGATGTTTTCTTTGTAACAATGGTAAAACAGAAGGTATATCAGGAATTCCTGGAAAGTGTACGAGAACCAGAGATAAATAGGGATACACAGATTGTGCAAAATACACAGGGTTGGAAGCACGACAAACACCCAAGGGGAAAGCACAGACAGTACATCAGCCACACTTTGCTGTCCTTTGACGCACAAAAAAGGGCCATTGCTACATATTCTTTTCTTTAAAGGAATGCGGCTGTGGGGTGGGGATGTGGGTGGGGTGCGGGAGGGGCAGGGGGGGAGTGTTTGGGAGGAGGAAAATATTCTTGTGCCCCCTGTGGCCAGGCCAATAAAACACATGTTATGCACATAGCAGACTTAAAACCATGGTGCATTTACAGGCGGAAGGTCCAACGGTTTCTGCTTTGCCCTGAATTGGCAGATGTTTTGAGAGAAGATTTCATCAGTGCCTGGTATAGTTGCAGAATGTTGTGGCCACTGAGACTGTTTCAAGCTCAGTGAATGGGCAACAAATGGTAGCATTACAGCTTTCATGCACACCTGCTTCCATAATGAAAATGCGATGTGCAATGGCTTGTGCACTCATGGAGGCTCACAACAGAAGATGGTCTGGGGGAAGGGGGAAGGGGGACGGCGTCAACTGCATTGCCAGTGTTGCAGGCATTCCAGGGCAGATATTTCGGTCCCTTCTGAGAAGCCGACCATCCGTCACTCAGCCTGTAGTGCACACTGTGCGTGCTGCTGTTGTCAATCAGCTTCATGGATCAGCATCAGAAAGTGCGGGCTCTATCTTGGGGCCAGAGCTGTCCACCTGCCGCCCACCTGGCCGAACCCACAGTCTATGCATGCAGGTGAGGGAAAAGATTGAGATGTCGGGACGGGACGCCCGGTGGGAGTTTCCCAAGAACCTACTGTTCCAAAAGACGAATTACATGGCGGACATATGCAGAGACCTGGCAGAGATGGTGGAGGTGGTTGACGACTTCTTCAAGTTCCTGGGGCCGGAGCTGAAGGCAGTCACGGGGGACACCCAGGGCATCGACAGGGTCATCCAGAGTGTGCATGCCATGGTGGAGCCGATTGAGAATCTTCCCTTCAACGTTTTTGACCAGGCGAACAACGAGCAGTGGTTGAAGGTCAAGACCCAGGTCGCCAATGACAATGAAGGCATAAAGAAGGCCACAAGGTGCGTTGACATGCCTTAGGCACACTCTATGAAGCGCCGCTCACGCTGTCACTTGGATCATCGCTCAGCGAGTCACTCAATCGGGCTGACTCACACACTTGCTGTCGGCTGTCGGTTGTCGGCCCAGCTTTACTTTTTATCATTCGCCCCTTTTGGCACGTGGTCCTAGATGGATTCGTTTTAACATGCCTATTGCCCAGCTGACGCCACCCCAGTTGGTCCCTTTGCTGATGGTGCGCCACATAATGAAGCAAGGCTGACCCTTGGCTTGATGAGATTGTGCTCGCGTTGCACACCCACATGTCAACGTAGAGCATGCTGCCTCCAGCAGCATGTGCTCCTTGGGGTGGACAGCTGCTCACCTTTGCCAGTATGCACAGTACTCTGAACATTCATGGCATGCAGGTTCGGCAGGTGGCAGTGCCTCAAGAATGGCATGCGCTGCCTCCTGGTAGATGTCCCTGGTAGTTCACAGTAATGTGTGAGCCATTTTCGGGGCTTGCAGCTCCTACAACTCTCGGGGAGGCATGTTCGAGTCCCGATGCATGGCGCAGGCAGTCAAGTGCAGTAGCAGCCAAGCAGACACGGAGTGCGAAAGCATCATGGCCAAAGTGCCTTTGGGCACTTTGTGGTGGTGTTTTCAATGGCAGTGTTGTGTTGTGACGTTATCGTGAACGGCGCAGGGGATGACTCTAGTCAATACATGTGTTGTGCTGCATTGATGGAGTGAGGACAGGTCATGTGTTGAATAGTGTAGGCAACCTGCATAGAATCTGATCTGAGGGCAGTCTTAGGGCATGTGCAGATGCTGGCATGCTCAACGTGGCCTCTTGTGTGATGGACTCTGTTATGTAACCCAGTGCATTGAATTGGAGTACTGGACTTTGGGGGCGGGGGAGGGAATTGGAGGGAACTCAAGAAGATGCAGCCAACACAAAGGACGTCGTGTTCCATCACGCCCGCCCTCAGACTGGTCTGACTCGGTCTGCTGTCACCGCGTCGGCACCATGCATCGGGTCTCGAACATGTCTCACACGCCTCGTGGCCACCACAAAGCAGTCTTGCAACCCTACCCGATGACAAGAGAAAACCAAAGGCTGCTCGAAACTGTCCGTCCG